ACTATTAAGTACTACACACTGTTCTTTATATGTGTTATGGCATGTAAATTTAATGGATTCATTGCTTGTTAAATTCCCCTTAGAAAATACACACACACACACACAAACACACACACACAGCAGGAGCAGATCAGCAAAGACACCAGCAAAAGAAAGATAATTTGAGATACTTCTAGGTAGCAGTTGTAAAATTAAAATAAGCAACTCATTAAATTATCCATAGAGTGAAAAGAAAGCTGTAAAAATAGATATTTTTTTGGCAAGTCACTGCTGTTCAGAACAAATTTAGTCTTAAGCTGAGTTTTTAAATCAAATGATATCAATTCATATTCATTAGAATCACTTAAACAGTAGCCTCGTTTGTCCTAATTAAAAGCAAAAATTATCTTTACTGGCCTTTGGTAGAAGTATATTTATTTAAAAACAAATTCAGTTACACATAATTTTAGTAGACAGATTGTAAGCAATATGATCAAGTCAATGTTATCTGAGCAAGTTGGAGCTTGGTCCCAAGATCACAGAATTAAAAAACAAAAGCCCTTTGTAAGGCAGATTCTCATATTGATTGATTTTTCCCTTATTTTTATATGTTAGTTTTTGTGGCTGGTCATCTATTTTGTGGTCATCCAGTTCCTTGCCTTCTACACTGCTTGCTTCTAGTATGTTGTTTCTTACTAAAGCTTCCCCTAGAGGACAGGCCAGGAAAAGGAAAGAAACTGAATTCACCAGCTTCTTTTCTTATTAAGAATTTAGATCCAAGATTTGATAAGGAAAGAGCCTGGCAAATGAAAAATAAAGCTTATGTATGCTTATTTAAGATCTTCTCAAAACCTTCTTTCCAATTTATACTGATAAACAACTGACAAATAGCATTTTGTAAGCCAACTAATCACTTGCTTTTAAAGTCCGCATTTATTGCCCTGCCCATACAAATTAGATGATGTTTTTAATTAACTAGTACTCTGGTTCAATCAAATAAAAGTGCAATTTGCAAAGAAAATGTCATAATTATATCTTCCATTTATAGAATGCCTGCTTTCCAGTTTGCAAAGCCCTTTCAGATATTCTCTTCTATCCTCCCAAAATTGCTGTGTTGTAAGGTCTTTACTATCAGTGACACTGATAGTTTATCTGAATCAATACTCCCTTGGGGGGGGGGGGGCTAAACCAAGCTAAAATCTCTCTTACAGAAATATTAATATGCAAGACCAGGGAGTACAGAAGTAGGCTAGGTTACTGCTAAATTTTTAAGGTTAGAATCCCCATCCTCCCCCATCATCTCTCATCTGCCTGATTCCAAACAGGGAAATTGAAATTTCTTGCCTTCATGATGAAGAGCTCTATGTAAATATACATCAACAGTGAACATCAGGTGCACCATTCTTAAAGTGACATTCATTTCCACAACACTTTTAGGTGAAGCCATTTCATCTTACAAATCGAGGATGAGAGTGTGTGTAAGAGGATGACGTGACACTTTTGAGGTTTATTTAAGTTGTTAAAAAATCTCGCGGTTACAAGAATTTCCCTCCTTGTCTCCCGCAGATACGAAGTCTACAATTTTCTCAGTTCAACTGTCAGATAAATTGGCAAGTCGACTAAAAGGATAATATTCCCTTAACGATGCATTCATTTGAAGCCTTAGCAACTGTATTAGGCAGCAGCGAGTATTCGCTAGCACGGCATGGCGCGGGGAGAGGGAACTCTGCAATTTAGAGTGACAGATGATTTTTTTCCCATCCATCAAGCCGCCTCAAAATGTCACAATATTTACACCTCTTCCTTGGTGAATTAGAATCCAGAGACAAGCAGACAGAGAAAAGAAAAAAAGAAAGAAAAAAAAATCCGACCGGTTGCCTCTTGCCTGGGGAAAAGCAGGCGTTGCACCTTTAAATTCTGCCCCTCCATTCCCTGTTCCCCCCCTTCCCGGGATTTTGCAATAAATCTCCCAGTTCTGCGTTCAGCCCTGCAGATCCGTATTTAAAACAGCACCATCTGGGAAGGGTGGGTGGCAATGGTGATGCGGGCGCCTTGGAGTTCCTTTGCAGCACGCTTGGAATTGCATCAGACTGATCAGAAATCCCCCCGCCCCCAAACCCAGCCCCTCCCGCCACGCTCCCTTTCCAGCCCCTCCCCTCCGCTCCCTTCACGTAGCTCTCACTGAGAAAACGACTGGATCTCGGAACAATCTGTGCCCCATTCGCTGCAGGCTTCTCCGTAAACCCTGCCCTACGCTCCCTTTGTGTTCGGAGCAGCCTATCACCGTCATCTGATCCAAGTGCCTGTTTTTTATTTTTTCCTTCTAAATTTCCACAATATCCTCGCGTTGCCTATGAATCCGTCATTTCCACCTGCGCAGAGTTGGGATTCTTTATTTCCTTCGCTAAAATAATCTTTTGAGTCTGGAGTTTCGGAAATGGGTTTTTCCCTAACTCCCCTCACTGCCACCCAATCCCTAGCCTCTTAATTAAGAAGAGCTGATCCGGGGAGGAGTCCAGAACCACCAAGCCCTGAGGCGAAAACTGCCACTGGGCAAGGCTCAGTGGCCGGAACAAAGGGCCCAAGAAGTGGGTGGGGGTGAGGGTTGTAGAACTGTGGAGAGGTTGGTGGCCCCCGCCCTGGGGCGCACAAGTCCCTGGGCTCCCAGAGGAGAGGCAGGACGACAACGCAGTCGCACGCTCCAGCCGCTCAGGGTCCCTCGGGGGGCGCCGGCGGGGCGGAGGAAGTGGAAGGGAAGGCTGGGCAGCTCCGAGTCCGCTTCCATCTCCAAGTCCCCCATCTCCACCCACTGCCAGCCTCGCAGCCCACCAAGGTGGCTACAGCAGATCCGCGGCTAGCCGGCCGCCCTCCACCCGCGCCTCCGGACGCAACCTCGCCCTGGCTGGGCGGTCTGCGCGCCTAGCTGATTGGTGGCTCTGTCCAGCCGCCGCACGGAGCTACGAGTGTTCTTCTCCACCGCCTCCAGCCGCCCAGGCCCCCACCCCCCGCCCTTTCCCTGGCTCTTTGGTCCAGAAAAGACCTTCTACTCCCAAGCGGAGGCCCCCCTTTTCCCTGAGTTACCCTGACTGACTCGGACCTGGGCTCAATGAGGCATCCGGCCCGGCGGGGGAGCGGAGCGCGGTCTCGGCGGCTCCCCTTCCCTTGAGAAAGCCGGAGCCTTCCAAGCCAGCGCCCGAAACTCGCGGGGAGGGAGGACAGAAAGAAGAAGGGGGGAAAAACACCCAGAAAGAAATATCCAGCGAGGAACAGGGCGACGGAGAGGAAGAGATAGAATGAGGGAGGGATGGAGGCAGGAGGAGGGGGCGGGGTGGAAGAAGGGGGGCGGGAAGGAGAGAGGGAGGGGGAAAGAGGGGAGGGAGGGAAACAGGGAGAATGAATCCTCACTAGAAGAGCTGAAATTACCTTGATTCATTTCGTGTTGGAGATTTAGCGTTACCTCCTTCCCTCTCCTCAACCTCCACCTCCCCTTTCCCCATGGCACACTACCTCCACCGCCTGATTTTAAATGATACAAAGTCAAATTTTAGGAAATCGAATATTGTGCAAAAGCTTCATAATTAGTAATGAATTTACTGTACGCGCGCGCGCACACACATACACACACACACACACACACACACCAGCAAAAAGAACGGGAAAGAGGGAGGGGAAGGGGAGAAAAAGAAAGAAATCTTACATTCGAATCAGACATTTGCAGGTCCAAGTTAACTAAACTCATTATATCCGCAGGAAGACTGAGCTCCCCCCCCTCCCCACGCTTTGCCCCAGGGCTCTCACCTAGGGCAATTTAAACTGGGCAAATACCAAGAAACAACCTCCTCTCCTGCCCTCCCTCTACTTCCTCCCCTCCAGCACGAGTCCTTTCCGGAAGATCGAGTATCAAAATAGCTCAAGAATTGGGGATGCAGGGGTCCCCGCCCCGGTGCTTACCTCCTCTGCGGCTTACACCACCCCGGTGGCTAGATCCTGGAGATAAACACTTGCATTTCCCAAAGTTAACCCAGTATACCAACCCGGAGCTTGCCAAGAGTCTATTCCAGCCTACACCGCTAGGAAGCCAACTTCAGCGAGCTCAATGAGGGGACCAAACTGGGGCTCGCTTTCCAAACGCTCCGCTCCAAAATCTGACTCTCTCTCCAGCCCCGATCTCTGTGTGAGTCGAACCTCAGAAAAGACGCTTTTTAAGGGCGACACAGGGTTGGCTTGACAGCGGGGGAAAGGAGGCTACCTGGAGTACCACCACCTCGGACAAATCCGTTGGCTCTGTCCAAGGTGCTGAATAGACTCCGTTCGCCGGGATCACACACCCGGAGCAGCAGGAGGAAAAGGATAAAAAAATCTCTAATTAAGTGACACTTGATATTGCTCTAGACGGTTTCTTCCACTTCCTTACGTTTTGTCACGTGCGGATGGCTTTGCCAAAGCCATCCTGTTAACAGTTGATCACATGTTGATGAGACCCTTTTCTTCTATGAGATTACCCATTTCATTACCGGAGATAAGCATTCCTGACTGATTTCTCTCCCCCCCAACCCCACCCCCATCCTCACCTAAACTCTCAGTCTCTATCCCACTCTTACCCCACTCCACCCCCTAGCCCCAATCCCTAACAGCATTATTGTTTTTAGATGGAAATTAACCCCCCTGGCGATGTCAATTACATGCCCACATATAAATCATAGAATATGCTCATACACCATACACATAAAGGCAAAGAATGGAATGCAAGACGGCTGGGAGACAAGCATCAGCCTTGAACAACCAACATAACACACACACACACCCCCTCCAGTTCCAAGTTTGTTCCACGCAGTTCCACATTGCTGTGTTAAACCTCAAATGATTCCAATTAAAGTTGCACTGTGTAAAAACCCGATTCCCCTGGCCCGAGTAAGATGCTGTTCTTTGGCGTGTGAAATGCTAGGAAGAGCCGTGATATGCCCGTTGTTAAGCAACATGTCAAGATTTTCAATTATAATGCAGGGTTTATTGCTACTCACCATTGTGCCTTTGCTGTCCTGGAGACTCAAGTGTCTTAAAATCTCGTCTCCCCAACAGATGCTGGAAGGTAATGTGTCTTGTTTGAAGTCATCATGTGAGAAGTTCGGCTTTGCTCAGTGGATCGCCCACCACTTGGTGTGACTTATGAATCTAATAACCCTTTGCAATATCCGCAAGCTTAAACTCTCAACCACCTTGGCGACTACAGAAGACAAAGCAACTGGCATCGATGTTGAAAAACCTATAGATTTACGCAAACGCCCTCACTCCGAGAGATACGTTTCCCTTAGAGTTCTTACGTGATTCTAATGAATGAGCTAGGTTACCAATGACTGCCCAACTGCCCTGCTATATAGCGGGTGCTTCCTGAGGCTGCCTCCTCACCGCCAGTCACTGGGTCCTGGCACACAAAGTTCCCAGAGAAAGTGAGGAGTTTCAGGGTACCCCCATAAAAATAACCCAGCCTGCACACCCCACTCTTGCCCTCTGCTCAGGTCACACCTGGGGCTCTGGCAAAGCTGAGCTAGGCTCGGGAGATTTCCCTGTCGTCAGGTAAGAAAACCTTCGCCTTTTCAGGCTAGGGCGGGAAGACCGCTGGGGAACTTGTTGCTTATCAGCGCCAGCGGGCTACCGCTTTAATAAGAACACCAGAAAAGCGCAGCGGGGAGTGGGCGAAGGGGGTGGGAACGACGACGACTATCCGTGTTGTTTACGTGACCAACTCCTTGTGACTCCCTCGGTAAAAAGGAAACTTCTTAGAAAAGTTCCTGCCCCTCCCCCTCCCCCACCATGACTAAGGGTCTCCAGCTGATGAGGTCGTGAGTGATGATCAAATGGGGAATGGGGGATGGGCGGGAGGGGGGAGTAAGTGACTTGTCCTTGGGAACAACTGCATGCGTCGAAGCGCGCATCAGCCCCGCAACTTTCCCTTTTCCTCTTAGGGACTGATGACTAGGCGAGAGGCACAGGGGCGAGCCACTAGTTGCCCACAGGAACCTGTGTAAATCGAGCTCTCGAGCGGCTGAGTTGAATGAAGTTATGATTGCGTTTGCTCTAATGGGTTATGGCTTCTCAAATGTGAATTAACAGCCCCTGTGCGCAGCTAGGTCGGTAAGGCAAGCCACCGAGAACTGAGCCGCGGGCAAAGGCGGGGAGGAGAGGAACTGCGGCAGGCTCCAGGTTCCTCGCTCTCCTTTCGCTCAATGCTTCTTGCCCGAAGTCGCTTCCGCATCATCTCGGGGCTCCCAAGCTGCCAGGGTACCCGGGTGAGCGCTGGCTGGGAGCGCCAGGAGCTGCGGCTGCGTTTGCGTACATCGGGAGGGGGCTCTCCCAGGAAACCCCGCGGTTAGCACCCGCGCTTCCCTACCACTGGCTGCTAAGTGGAGAGGTCACGTGTTGGCGGAAAGTAAGTTGGAAGGGAAAGGATGAACTTCGAGAAGAAGAAAAACCACACAATAAAACAAATCCTCCCCCCCCCCCCGTGTGTAAAATCAAGAGGAAGGCATTCAGGGTGGGGGAAGGGCGCCGCTCTCTGCTGGAGACCTGGGAGAACTCCGGAAATCTCAGGAAATAAGCAATAACTCGAGCGTTGGCAACATCCCCCAGCGTAGGGAGGCGCTAGCCCAAGGTATCTTTCCACTGAAGCTGTCCTTTGCCTACCCCCAGCCATCGCCTGCAAGGCCGGGCCGAGGAACTGAGGACGAAAGTAAACCAGTTGTTATGGAGATGCCGGTAGCTCTGAGGAGCACGAGTGCCCGGGGAAGTCCCCAGACGCTTTTCAGGTTTAGCCGTTTTGGCATCGACACCATGATTTTACTCTCCATCCAGAGTTCCCACCAAGGGGAGTCCACCAACGGCGTCACAGGCCCTGGCCGTGGCGCTACTGACTGCAGGGATGAGGCTGAGAGATACTGCAGAAGATGGTGGATAGCCCTTAAGTTTCAGACCACCCAGCCCTTGCCAATTTTTAGTTTCTTTATTCCAATCAGAAGTACTGTATTTTATTGTCATTCGTGCTTCCTGGTGTATTAAAACCAGAGTTTCACTGTAGGACGACTTATATGCAACAGAACATTAATATACAGTAACTGCTACAAGGTCCTGCTCCCCTCCCCCTCCCTCCCATCCTAGAAATGCCTTCCTTCTGGAAAAAAAAAAGCTTTACTTCCTAATTCTATACATGGGCTCTGTTCCTTGGAGATTTTAATGGTATTGTATTATTAATATTCACAGTAAATCCAGTGTTGAGTTCATACATACCTTAATAGAGATGTTTCCGGTTAACCCAGCTTATCCTAGGCTCCAGCCAACGTGCACATACAAATACTTCCTGGACCTCAGTAGGGTCAGTTCCATACATGCCTGGTTCCCTGAGACCTGAGGTGGATCATGATAAAAGAATGCCAGACACCCTCAGAGTCACCAAGGCAACAGTTCCCTCCAACTGAAAGGACTCTTCATATTGTCCACAAATGGCTACTTTTTGTCCATCCATGAATTAGCCAGCAGATGCTGCCCTAAGACTGGGACAGCTGGCATAAACCATCTTCTGAGATCTTGGGGTTCGGCTTTGTGGGCTAAATTTGTTTCCTGAGAATGCAATTAATAATGCTGTTAGTAAGTTCTTTTGCTTATTGACAAATTCAGTGATTTGAGTACAGATCTGATATCTTGAAACAACAGAAATGATCACTATATGAACATACTCATTCCCTATTGTCATCCATGTGATACATTTGTCTGACTTTGTCAACCACTTGTAGACTGTATAGGGACTATTCTCTGATAGATCCTTATCCTGAAAATTAGTGCCATTTTTTAATCTTATAGGGGGATACCCTAAATTTTTGGCTCAGGTATCTGAGGATTCAGGACATGAATGGTTGATTATATTTGAATTATCTAGACAACACATGATTGTACTGAGTATATTTTCCAAGGAATACTTTTGAACATTGCCCTGGTTTCTTAAAGCCATTATTGAAACATATAACTTATGAACCAAGATGGGTAATGAGAGTTGCTCTATAATGAGATTTGCTATCGTGAGTTGTGGAGAAGGGTGAAAAGATAGTAAGTGCCACATATATATTTATTTTCCCCTCTTGATTTCACAGTGATGTGAAAGAAAATTCTCTTGGTACATTATCAGTTCTCCAGACTTTTATCTCTCTCTATTCACATATTTCCTTTTTTTTTCCCCCACATCTGCAGAAATCTAGTGCCAAACATCAGTAAAGGTTGCAGTCATTTCATTTGTTACGATAGATGACAAGCAGTGTACCTGCTGCAATCTTAATCTTGGGAGCACTTATTCCTGAGGTCATATCATTTTTTCCTCACACAACCCTCATCAGCTGTGATATGAATATCACACCTCTCTAGGTTCATCTGACCCTATTCATTTTTAGCAGTGGTAAGAACATTTCAAACTGAATGGAAAACAAGTCTTGTGTCTTGAAGATCACTACCTAATAATGTAGCCAAACTTAAAGCAAGATGTAGTAACACAACCTAAAAGGATTTTTGCTTTATTTGATGTTCACGAATGGTTTCCTAACAATGCTATGGTTATAAAGTTGTTCTCTGCCTGTATTTTTATAAAGATAGGTAAAAAAAAATAATGAAAAATATCTTATTGAGAGTGGGAGGCAAAGAACATGCATAAATAAGATGTGTAGCACATCTCAGAATTAGTGGGAGAGGGGTAATGAAACAGAAATCTACAAAATCAGAAATGAAAGAACTTTTTCTTAGAGAATTAAGGATGCTTGGAATATCTCTTTGAGACAAAATCTACTCTCTTGATTTTTAAAGGGAAATTTAGCATATTTATTTTTTAAAGAATGGTTTGAGGATTTTTTCCCTACATATCAAGCATATGTGAATGAGATAGTACACCTGTTCTCCCCTCCCAACTACTCTTATCAAATCTATTTGGTTATAGTTAATTGCCAAGTTCTCCATTTCACTGTGGGTTTGAAACATTATTTCCTTCCTTCTTTCCTACTACCACATCCTTTCCTGCTTCCTCAGTACCTATTCTGTGCTACAGATTTGATAAAGGATAGTGATCCATATACTAATAATTCCCTAAAGCATCCCAGAATCTCAGAGTACAGTACTTGGTTAATTGTTGCCAACTGTTAATAGTGCCCCCCCCCACCTTCCCTGCCCCTAGTTATTACCTCAGGATGACTTGTTCTAATAGACAAAGAACAGTATTTGAAGAGATGCTTCAAATAGTGGCATAATTGCTGTCTTGGAGCCTTAAAAAACAGGTAACAAAGGATTTCTGTTTATGATATAAGAAGTGATTCCGACCAGGTAGGAAGAAAGATTGGCTTTCTTAGTCACTTCCTGATCTCTAATGGTTCTCCACAGGCAATAGGAGAAGAGGCAAAGAATCACGATGCACAATTTGGAAAGCTTTCTGAAAACAAGAATAGGCAATGAATGCCAAGAACCTAGTGTCGAGCTCATGTTTAAAAAGAACTCAAGGAATCTTCCATGTATCAAACCTAGTTTAGTTAGAAAGGAAACAATCAAAGTAATAATAAAAAAAAAAAAAAGAAGACGCAAGCAAGAGAAACTTGCTTGGGAAACTTGGGATTTAGTTTACAATAACCTATCTGCATTCTTGAGTCTGAGAGGTAAGCATGAAATAGAAGATCTGGATATGAATTAACTCAGTTTCAGAAAACCAGACAACTCCATAATGAGGCTAAAGCAAGATCACACGGAATATTGAGGGGAGAATGGCATGATTCTAAAGAGACTTACAGATAAAAGATTAAAAAGAGGCAGTATGGGTGGCAAGTTGGGGAGAAGTGACATTGTTAGTATGAAAAGATGATAAGTGATTGAGATAGGCCAAGAATATATCAGGTCAGGACTTGCAAAATGTACTTTACTAAATGTAAGCTCACTTTCGGGTTTGGATAAAATGAAAATACAAATCTCTGAGGAGTCACCAAACTGCGGAACATAGAAAGGCAAGTGAAAACGAGTGAGAGTAACAGACAGTCTACATTGTGTATGCTATCATACATTGCCTAGCAAGGTATGCTGAAGATCTACTCTTCCTACAACATCTGGAGGGGAACTTTCACAGGCGCTAACTATGGTTCTCTTAATTTAATGTGCGCATGAATCTCTTTGGCAGCTTGTTAATAAGCAGATTGCATCTGGGGTGGGAACCAAGAGATGGCATTTTCAACTGATTCCCAGGTGATGGGGTTGCACTACACTTCACACAGCAAAGTTCTAAATCATGCTGATCCAGGCTATGGTTTTATTTGCATTATGGTTTCATTGACAACTAGCTAATCTCTTCAGTTACAGAAGCGAATGCCACATACCAAAAAAGCAATTCAAGGAAAAGACTTGTTCTTTTAACCCTCATGTTACACAAACCAGAAACTCTACCTTGCTCCTAAACCT